GCGCAGAGGTCCGGGCCCCGAGGGCGCACCCCCCCAGGCCAAAGCCCGACAGGCCCAGAGGCCCCAAACCCCAAAAGGCAGTCACCAGGCACAATCACTCAACCTGTAATTCTAACAATAGCATCGTGTATTTTAAATTCAGAGCTGCCTTAGGTCYTGAAGCTACGCAGGATTTATTTTCACCCGTGTCTCTTTAACATTATAATGAGTTCACTGCAAATACTGTAYATTAAGCAAAAYRTGCTAAACAAAAAAGTATTTTTTTGACTGCAGCTTGCAAACATCAGCATTTATTAGTGCAAATATGTCAAGGGAACATTATGTTTTCTGTCATCTCTATCCAATACACACTGTTGCTTTAAAAACTGACTTCAAACTTTAAATACAAATATGAATACACAAAACCCCTAAACTTCTATTAAAACTTAAGCACCATTATACGCGGGTATCAGAGCCTCGGCTAAATGATATGTAGCAGCATCAATAATTGCCATAAATTACCTGTTCTTATAAAAGTTCTGCCTTAGATTACTGCAAACACAGAAGTTTTCGTTCTTTAACTTTCAGTCTTCTTCATTAAACTCCTCACATGTTGCTGGTCAGTCTATCATGAAACATGGTCACTCATGTGTGACACTCTCTGCCAGTCAGTGGGTGGATCAGATAGAAGGGTGAGGGGGTAGGTTACAGTCGGGGGTTAAGGCGGGGCCAGCATATCAGCTCTGTGGCATGTGGGGGTCAGCACTGATTAAAAACCTGTCACTTGACCCCTTGGCCGCATTTCAAAGTAAAGAGGAATAGAGAAGTGTGTGTTTGCTCATAAGTGTGAGAAGGCTTTATGTTGTACACGATAAAAAAACAAATGCACAGAGCTTTTTGGGTGTGTTAAAATACACGATTGGACGTGTAGAGATATTCGTATTTAGCCTCAGAAGCTGAGTATCTGTGCCATCAGTGAACGTGAGGCAATCACACACACTCATAAACACACAGTCATCTGTCTCTGCTCCACGCCGGCCTATTAGAGGGCCTGGCCTTTGATCCCTGCCACTCGATTCACTGAGTCTTCTCTGACAACTCGTAAGAAACACAAAGGGATCAAAGTCAAGAGGCAGGGTAAAGGTCGATACATGTGTGCCTGCATGCATGTGWGTTTGTGTGTAAAACTCGCATGTGCGCTTGGGGACAGTGACTTCAAAAACCGGACGCCGTGCTGTGCAGCCATTACGTTCAAAGGGAGGCGTGCCGCCGCTCAGATGCCTTTGTTTTGTTTTTTTTTTTTCCTCTTGTTTATGAAGTTGTTGCTGTAGGATTTTATTAGAACAGATGCATTAGAAACTGTTTGTAGTTTATTATGTCCTGGATGTGATTTTGGTTTTTATGAAGATGAAGGGAATGTTAATCCAACATCAGAAGCGCAGATTAGAGTGCTTTTAGTAGCAAAAATGAGTTATTTTTGTAAGCCTCTCTGTGRTGAAGTATTAATTTAGTTCAGAATCTCAAACAATAAAACCAAATAAGTTTTAGTCCGCTTCAATTTTTTGATTTTATTTTATGAAGAGGATTTATCAGTTTATTCCTTATATGTGTGTAKTAACAGCTTGATTGTATTTGTCCACAATCATTTCAGAATGCCAAGAAAAGCATTGTATACACAGACAAACTTTCACAAATCTTTTTAAAAATTTGTTTGTTTTTCACAAAATAAGAAATCAGAAGTGTAAAAAATAACTTCCAATAATCTAATCCTTAATTAGCACAACAAGTTCATTAGTATAGKGGTACATCTATTTAGGGTTGTGTGCAATTAATTGTCAAAAAAATCTGTCAATTAATATTTGCCACTTTGCATTTACTGCAGTTAAACCCATGTGATCATGTATTTTTATGTGTGACACACTATCACTGTCAGGTGTGTATGTGAGCCCAATGGTGGAAGGCAGTGGAAAACAATTAATGCTAACTCTGAAACACTGATATAAACTGGAGTGTGAGGAAAACCAGAAAAGGTGGACTGCAAACACAATGTCAGCTACGTAGTAATTGTCATCTATTAATCACCATAGTAATTGCTGGGTGTGATAATATTTTTTAATCAATATCACCCAACCCTACAACCACTGATAATTTTTACAAATTTCATTAAAGTACCTTCAGTATTTCACGTGATATTTTGGTAAAATAACAAACTTGGGCAAAAACTTTATCTGCTTTCACCTCAGGTAAACAGTTTGTACACTTTCTGAGCATAATTTAGTCTGAGCTGCTTTTCGTGTTTATGTCTTTGTGATTGTTTCTCCTAATAGGCTTGTTTCCGGTGCTGCGGGAGCTGACAGAGGAGGAGAGGCAGCAGATCCTCCACTCCTCTGAGTTCCAGAGCTTCTTCGACTGCAGCATTCGGGTGATGGAGAGAGCTCTGGCTGAAGACAGCAACATCTTCTTCGACTACAGCGGCCGAGACCTGGAGGACAAAGAGGGGTGAGCAGCTCTGCTCTGACTGCCAGCCAACCTAAACAAAAAAATAAAAAGAAATCTGAGTTTGGATCTCACTAACAGATTCAACGTTTGGCTTCCAGACTTTTTCTAAAACCGATTTGGACTCAATCTGGATATGCCGCAACAAAATCAATTTGCTCTGCACATGTGAGCGCCTGCTGACGCATCTTCAACTCCCAAATGTGTGAACACTGACTCATAGTCACCGTGTCCCTCTCGGGGSCCCGGGAGCATCTTTGTTCTTTGTGGAGCATGTGTGATGTCACACTCTCAGATGGTTAGAGATTCCTGTGAACTGACAACCGTCACATTTCACCGAGCATTGTCTCGCCATCTGAAACGCTACCTCCGAATGGAGGTTATCAAAGGGTTGGTGGAAGCTGGAAGAGGCAGAAGTGCAAAGCTGTTTTAGGTTAGTGCTCTGCTATAATGGAAGAACTGCTTTTACTGACTTACTTTGAATTCRACCACAGCAGCCGCAGAGAAGCACGAAGCCTGTGGTCAAATAAAGATTATGTCTAAAACAGGCCAAGCGCTGCACGTCAGACCTGGTCTTTTTTCCTCTCAATGATGTGCTTGGAGTGTGTAACAACATAACCTACATTCCTCTGCCCTGTTTCTTTATATACAGCCTCACTCATTTCAGACTATATATAATGTGGATGTCACTGTCAGGCAGCGTGGAWGTCATATATATACACAAACCAGTGTCTATAATTTGTGTTAACTTGTACTCCAATAGAATACCGTGTCCAATCTGGTAGTTTTGCCCTCAAAAAGTTGACATGGAAAGTTTAGAGAAAGCTGGTACAACTGTCTGCCGCAGCCAGGGACATAACCACAGAACATTTTGACCACAAGAAATATAGCAAAGCTTTGCTGAAATTACACACTCAAAAAGGTGCTAAGTCAGGCAACGATTTTTTGGGCAAAAACTACTAAAATTACTACATTTATGTATTCTAGGTATATTTATGTTTTGTATATGTAAAAAAAAAAAGTATGCCTACAGCAAATAGCAAACTCTAATACAATTTGAGTTCTTTACAACAAATTCAATTGTGGGTTTAGAATCTATAGGAAAAATATGAGCAAATAATATCTTACCTGTTTCAGGTTGTTTAGGCTGCACTGATACTGCTATAGCTAGCTTCTGCTTCAGCCAAGCACACACACCACTTTAACCAAAACATTAATTAAAATGAGATCAAATAAATAAAACCAATTATTTCAGTTAACTTAAAATGTAATCTATTGGTATTTTGTTTCATTTTGTTGAAATCATGTTTTATCTATAAGTAACAGTTATGTCCGGTTCTGATCTTAAAAAAATCTACCCTGCCTGGTTCCAGAGACTCGGGCTGCGGCTCCAGTTTGTCCTTCAGTCGACTCTTCTATGACGAGCACTGGTCAAAACATCGTGTCGTCACTTGTCTCGACTGGTCCCCTCAGGTAAGCCCTGAAGTTTAAAGTGTCCCAGTTTGTTTAAAGAGAGAGATCCGTTTATTTTTATTGAATATTTAACCCTCAGAAAGTCTCATTGAAAAAAAAAATCAGCCATGCATTTATTCGAAATGTATTTTTATTTGAGGGATACTAAAAGTCAACTACAGCGGGCTACAACTTCGATTTTGGTTAATGGTTCTATAAGATCAGTGGGCTGGATGGTCTTCCCACAAGTCTGGACTGGAATCTTAAAAAAAAAATTGTCCAAAAATCATTTTGGGTTTACAAATGGGGAAAAATGCATTACAAAAATATAGTCATAAAATAAATAAATTATAAAAAAAAAAGAACAAAAAACACTTAATAATGGAGTTTTAAATCTAAATTCTCAAAGTAGTGAGATAAAAAATAAATTTGATACGTGTTAGGCAGAGACTTACTTATTGTTCACAAAGAAATTTTAAAATAGTACTTTAAGCAGTTATGTGAAGCGGTGGATTTTTTYCCCCAAGGAACAYTYATRTCAGAGTTAAAGGATTGTGAAAGGGTTAAGTGTATTTTTGGTTTGTTTGTTTTTTCGTTTGTTTTTGTTTGTTTGTTTACATCTCTATCTCTCGTTTTCTCTTCCCTAATGCATTTACCTTTTCCTCTTTTAGTATCCTGAGTTGTTGGTCGCCTCCTATAATAACAATGAAGACGCTCCCCATGAACCGGATGGCGTTGCCCTGGTGTGGAACATCAAATTTAAGAAAGCCACACCAGAGTACATCTTCCACTGTCAGGTACTTTCATGGTATTTTATTACACAKCACAGTTTACAGTGTCATAGCAGTCCTAATGTTGGATTGTTGTGAATATACACCAAAATATAACCTCACATCTTCTTGTGAGCAGAGGTTGAATCTGCAGAGAATTCTRCTATAATTAATTAATAAGTGATATTTGGACAAACTTGATGCATGTGCTAGTTTTTATTTTRGTTCATTTTAATTCTATAAACACACATGTCAGATGCAGCATAGTGTAACAGCAGTTTTCACACAGACCTTAATTTATTGGTGTATTTTATACATGAGCAAAACATTTTGACAATCTCTGCATTGTGGTCAGTAGGAGTTTTGTGCCCAGGATGCAGACTCTTAAAGGGAGCTTGAAGAAAAAGCTAAAATATTTTCTATTTTAACAAAATAAAAARGATGACGAGGCACCAAAATGCATTATTAAGACATACAAGGAACAAGAATAACTCGAGGAGGACCGGACTGTGGCATGGAAACAGTGCCTGCTGATGTGAACATCAGAACAAATRTACAAGGACTGATGACTGAGTAGTGACACCTGGGCACAGTGACAGCTGGGAACAGGTGAGAGAGGGCRGGGCAGGAACACAGCGACAGACTGAGGCTGGAGTGAGTGATGACACAGAACTGGTACACTGAAAACACAAAACAACCAAATCCAAGAATCACAAAACAAATAAACCTAAAAATGAGGCTAGGAGGTGAAAAATCCCTGCTTCAAACATGTGAGTAAAARCAACTACAAAAGCAGCACACATTCATCCGGCTTTAGGCTTAAAATGTTTGCGGGAGCCAGATTCAAAAGGAGCGATTGAGGTTTTAATGGAAGGAAAATTCACGTTCGATTGTGATGCAAATAGAAAATGACACAAAGGAACTGGTTGCATGGAAGGAGGGGAGAATTGTCTCATGAAACTTGCAAGCCCGTGTTGAGATGTCTCAGTCATAAAACGATGTGGTTTACCGCTTCCTAATCCAACACTGCGTGTGTGTGTGTGTGTGTGTGTTAGCCCACCCACTCTGATGCTCCCTCTGCAATGCTGCAGGAAGGGTTCCCTCATAAACATGAAAGGTGAAACTCACCTGTCTTATCCCTGCTGTTTAAGGGATTTTAGGGCAAGGTTTATGCACATAAAACTATTTGCATGCTTTATGCACGTGAATTATTTTTAAGCAACTCCTCTCACATAAGCTAATCTCCACAGCTGAGTTTTAAAACATTCCATTTTTTTTTACTGTATCATGATTTATGCAGCTGCTGAATTTCGTGCAGTTGCGTAGATTATACACATCTTTTCACTGCAACATTCTGTAGATTTTCCATGTGGTTCGCTCATAAAATATATACTGTACATGCACATCTGACTTCATTACCAGGGTGGGTTTTGAGCATGCAAATCTGAATTGTCTGCATTGAGCGGCAGACTTTTGAGAGCGAGAATATTTGTGTAAGCAGTCGATAAAAATGCCCCATATATCAACAGGGGGGGCTTTTTTTTCCTCCAATTGTGTGAAGCAGAGCTGCCCCACAGTGGATTCAGCACTAAGTGGACAGGAACACAATGGCACCATTTTGCGCAGAAATATTGTGAAATCCTCAATATGTCACTCATTCAAGCCACTTCAACAAACACAGTTTACTTGTCCACATGCAGAGATTTGTTTTAATTGAGGACTGATGCTGAGAGAGCGAGGGAGAAAAAAAAAAAACCCACTGTGAGCAAACAAAAACTTCCATGTGCCCAACACCCCATGTTACTCAGTCTGCCAGTGTGGCCTGGAAGCTTGCCATTTTCCTTTTATTTGAAGGGAAAAGGACAAGCGAGTGAGAGGAAAAAAAAGAAATTCTAAAAAAAAAAGAGGTGGCAGCTAAAGAGCAGTGGAGGATGAAATTAAGATAAAGTAATTAAAAAGGGAATACAATATAAACTGATAGTCCTCGTGTTGCTGCTGGATTTGGATGAGAACACCCCAGGAGTGGTTATGAAAAGTAAAAGATTGATTTTTTTCTTTTTCTTTTTTCAAATTCTGTTTTGAATTTTGCGAACAGAATTGCAGCTCTGTCAGCGGATCAGWTGGTTTATAATGTGCGTGCATGTTCTGCTGTTTAACCCCCTGAAACTACAGGGCTCCGTGCTTCTTTCTCTTTAGCTGTTTTGACTTCCACCTCCCGCCCAAGGCAAGAATAACAGAGAGCAGCAATGTGCTTTTCCCCCCTGCATCTGTAATCACTCTCTTACTGTTTGCTATACACTTTCAGCACACTCAGACATGCATATATACTGCACACTGTGTGGCAAACACTGCTGTTGTGCACAAACACCCCTTTTTATTTTTGCTTTTTTTTTCTGCTTTCTTTTAGAGGTTTAGATATAAACTTCTGAAACATATAAATATGTTTAAGGTTTACACCCTATATACAGGCTATAATGTGCGTGAGTATGTGTTTGTGATAAGCTCATGAAACAATAATTGAAGCTGATATTGGAGGATTGGGGTTTAGGGATGAGGTTTTATTCAGTAGGGGCTTCATTGTTCAAGGTTTGACATTTCAGATGCTAAAATCAAACTTGTTTATCAGTGGTGGGCCTGGTTCCCAGCTAAGAGCTAATAGCGGAAAAAAATTCTTTGTTTATCAGATTAGCTTTTTCTTTAACTTTGAAAACTGTTAGCGGACCAATTACCTCTAGTTAATTAAGTTTTGCCAACTTTAAGTCCACTAACAGCTAATTAACAAACTAGCATCACCTGGTTTGTGTCGGTCCTACCAGTCTTCAGCTCCAAAGAGACAAAGATGGACATGGACAGAGTGAGTGTTATCTAGCGGTTAACGATTACCTTTTAGTATTCACTTTTGCTCATTTTTCACATGTGTAGTGTTATCTTCCATTTTATTTTACATGTTTAGCARTTTAGCATTAGYAAAGCTATATTTTAAGGTAACAGATTATGARTTAGCAAAGCTAACGTTTTGGTTAGCTGTGCCCACCACTGTTGTTTTTGGCTTGTCTGGTGAATGGGCATAGTGATGCAAAAACTGACCTGTTCATTTGAAATTAATTTATTATTTGTGTAAAATGGGAACAATTTGCACCCGATAAGTCTTATTGGTTTTCTGTGTAGTTAAAAAGATTTAGTATAGTTTTTGTGAAAAATCTTGTTTATCTATGGTTTCCAGAATGCAGTCTTTTCTGAAAAGACAATAAACTTTTTCCATCTTTTCTGAAGTATTGTGGATTTCTGTCTCTGACATGTTTATGTGATTGAAAGTGATTCAAAGGCTAGTTTATGGTTTTGAAGAGTCTCAGTGTCAYTTGAGGAAGTGCAGTATGAAAATGATGTACAGATACTTTTGGCAATATGTAGAAGTGCTGATATTTTTTGGCAATACTTACAGAAACTAGCTCTGRTTTGAGAACTATTATTCTCAAATAGAATAAAATTATGGAATAGAATTAACACCGACTTTTGTTCATTTTGCTYTTACTTAACCTACTTTTTGTTTTTATTTCATCCTACATGCTGTTCACATCTTTGTGAGCTCACTCATTCCAGTCTGTTAGATCAGCCCATATAACTGTGGGTTTTATGTTTATTTTACTGGACTTGGCTCCAGTTTCAGGTTCTGTTTTTTATCGCCTGAAACAAATTATATTTTAGATTTTTGCTGCAAATATTTAAAATGTTGCAAGGATTTTGATTTCATTATAGTTGTTTTTTTAATACAGTATATAATTGTAAAGSTAAATATATTTAAAATTCTGTCTGTAGGAAGAGTTTTTATAAATACTTGTCATTATGTCACCATTCAAAAATGAAAATGCMCAAAATACTTACAGTACAATGTGATACAGTTTTTGGATTACTTTTATTGCTGCATGGAATAAATAGAATCTTGGAATAAAATAACGGGGGGGAAGCTGCCCCTGTCCAGGTTGGATCAGATGTTAAATCAGAAATTTAGTCTGAATGTGTGTGACTTTTGATGCATAAAATTGTAAAGTRTCTTTGAGGGTATTTTAGGGTACCTATTGGTCTGCGTTAGAAAAGAGTCATGATCTCTAATAAGAACATGAACTCTAAGTAAGACTTCAGCATATGTAGTGTGGGAGGACCAGTGGACCTGAGGCAAATGTGTATATTCTTTATTCAGCATTCAAAGTCCAGGTTTCTGCTGAATAGAGTCAAACTCCAAACTAAACTTTTGTTAAAATACCTCATGTATAATGATGAGTGTAGACAAATTTAGCAAGTTTAATGTTAAAGGTTTAGGTAATTAGTTGGTGAGCTATGTAATCTTGTAAGGGGTGGAGTTCATATCAATATAACTCCAGTTTGCATCACAGGGATTGCTTTGATCATCTTCCCTCTCCCTGGGTCTCTCTGCTTAGGCTTTTGCCCCCGCGACCCAACCTTTGAAAAGCGGAAGAAATAGGATGGATGATGGGCAGACGGATTATTTTTGATCTGCTGAAAAAAATCCTGAAAACGAAGCCAGAATCAGTCCAACTCCACTATTCATTTTACCATAATTCACAATCTATTCACATGTTTTTGGCAATTATTTTCAAACTCCTACATTATAATCTCTTAATTTGTTTAACATGGATTCTGAAAGTTTTATGACTCAGCTTTAACAGCCATTGATCTACAGCATTAGTACAGACAGTGTGTGTTATGCATCAGTGTGTGGGTTGGGTTTGTGCTTCAGGAAGAATGGGGTTGCCTCAGCAGTGGATTCKGATACCAGCGTGGCTCCGCTCATCACGGCCGTCCTGGTAGTCGGACCCATCATCACCTCTTCCCAGTTGGGTCCAATCTTGTAACTTCACACCAGCCTCTCAAGTGGGCAAAGTTCCACCACATGAAAGAACCAGTTTGACTCAAAACCCCTGATTAAACTCTCCCCCCACAACCACACGCCTCCCTTTGACAGCCCCCACCGCTACTGTCACATCCCATTGGTCTCAGTCATATTTTTA